GACCCTGTTCATGGACACTGCCGATGTCAGGCTGGCTGGATGGGTGAGTGTTCTGGGTGTCTGGGTCTCAGGTCTGCTGTGGAGTTGGGAGTGTACTCCACAGGAGGTGACCCTTACTTGTCTCCTACAGGCACACGCTGCCACCTGCCTTGCCCAGAGGGCTTTTGGGGGGCCAACTGCAGCAATACTTGCACCTGCAAAAATGGGGGTACTTGTGTACCTGAAAATGGCAACTGTGTGTGTGTACCAGGGTTCCGAGGCCCCTCCTGCCAGAGGCGTGAGGCTCCCTGTACCCCACCCCACCCCTTGGCTTCTGTCGCTGACTCCCATCTCCAGGACAGTTAATCCAGGGGAAGGTGGGAGGGAGACCCTGCTCAAGGCCCCCAAGTCACCAGGCACCCCTTTCCCCAGCCTGCCAGCCTGGTCGCTATGGCAAACGCTGTGTACCCTGCAAGTGCAACAACCACTCTTCCTGCCACCCTTCGGACGGGACCTGCTACTGCCTGGCAGGCTGGACAGGCTCTGACTGCTCTGAGTGTACGTAGTGGCTTGTGTGTGAGCGGGAGAGCCTGCTGCTTTGGGTGGCTGAGCGTGGAACCTCAGTCTCCTGGCTCTGGGCAGAAGGCCCCCCCCACTCACCTTGGTTATCTGTACAATAGGAGAAATTCTGCCATCACTTTCCTACTGGGAACTGGTTTGGGTGGAGGATGCAGCAGTGAACAGGTCAGAGGGAAAGGTGTCTGCCTCTCCAGAACCTGGGAACAGCAAATCTCATAAAGTTCCCTCTTGGACATATTCTTATTTTCTCTTCCTTTAAAATATCAATATATAAACTATTAATTTATTCTTTGAAAATTTCATACATATATGCTATGAGTCTTGATGAAATCCCACTCCCCATCATGCCCCCTAATATATCTTTCTCCTACACAAATGTTCATTCCTTTTCTATAATCCGCCGAGTCTAGTTTGTTTGCCTGCGTGGGACTGGTGACTGGAACATGGGTCTCCTTCCCCCAGCAGCCGTGGCTGTTTTATCTCTTTCTCACACTGTGTTGACTGTGTCATCTCCCACATAACTATATGATAAAGAGATGAGTGGTCTGGGCAGCAGAAGCATGTTTCAGAGGGAGCTGCTGCCCAGAGACGGCTGACTGTACTTCTGCCAGGGCCTCAAGTGCTCTCGGTGAAGTATTTGGATTGTTGTTGTGTTTTCTGCCTAGAGTTCAGCAGTGTCTACTGTTAGATGATTTGCTAGGATCACACACAGATAATGTATTAGGCTGTAATCCCAATACCCTGGCAGGAGGCAGATGTTTGAAAACAAAAACCAAGCCTAGTGCTGAGCCCTCCATGGGCTGCTGAGAAGCTCTGGTTCCTAGCACTGGGGACATTGTTCTGAAATGGCTGTTAGGGAGTGGATAGTGGGCCAAGATGGCTGGAAATGAGCATCCCGGCCACCGGTGTGTAGATGCCCTTCAGAGCCTTAGGACCAAGAAAAGGCCAAGCTCAAGACTTCAGAGATACTGAGGCCTGAGCGTTCATGCAGAGGGGGTGGCTTGGCCCTGCCTGACAGCCCTTGTCTCCTGCAGCATGTCCCCCAGGACTCTGGGGACTCAAATGCTCCCAACCCTGTCAGTGTCATCATGGTGGAACCTGCCAACCCCAGGATGGGAGCTGTGCCTGCACTGCAGGCTGGACTGGACCCTACTGCCTGGAAGGTACCAACAGAGAGCTAACTCCCTGAGCGTACCATAGCCCTATCCAAGAGGAGGCTGCAGTTTGCCGGCTCTGTGACCCCTGCTTGCCCCCTTGGTTCTCTCCAGGCTGCCCTCCAGGAGTATTTGGTGTCAACTGCTCCCAGCTATGCCAGTGTGGCCCTGGAGAGAGGTGCCACCCAGAGACTGGGGCCTGTGTCTGTCCCCCAGGACACAGTGGTGCACCCTGCAGGATTGGTAAGTTCTTGGACTCCAAAGTTCTACAACCCAGGGTCCTCATACCGTCTCTTTCTTCCTTCAAATGCACCCACATTCACTAGTAGAACCGAGGTGCCCGTCTCAGTGCCCACTTTATCTCACAGGAAGCCAGGAGTCCTCCACCATAATGCCCACCTCTCCTGTGACCCATAATTCACTGGGTGCAGTGATTGGCATTGCCGTACTGGGGACCCTTGTGGTGGCTCTGGTAGCTCTGTTCATCAGCTACCGCCATTGGCAGAAGGGAAAGGAACATGAGCACTTGGCAGTGGCTTACAGCTCTGGGAGGCTGGATGGCTCAGATTACGTCATGCCAGGTGAGCTAGGGTTGTGCTTAAGTGAATGATAGGCAGTGGGGTGCTGCTGCCTGTTCCCCATGGGATGTGTGTGTGGGAAGGATGGAGGGAGTCGGGGGGGGGGGTCACACTGCTGCTGTCCTGGCCTGATGTTTGTCCTGCAGATGTCTCTCCGAGCTACAGTCACTACTACTCCAACCCTAGCTACCACACACTGTCCCAGTGTTCTCCTAACCCCCCACCCCCTAACAAGGTCAGTGCCTTGGGGGGGGGTGTGTTCTGGGTGTGGGTGAAAGCCTCAACCCTGTACTCTCCCTGAGGCACTGTCCCGCATCAGGTTCCAGGCAGTCAGCTCTTTGCCAGCTCTCAGGCATCTGAGCGAGCAGGCAGAACCCATGGACGTGATAACCATGCTACACTGCCCGCTGATTGGAAGCACCGACGAGAGCCCCATGACAGATGTAGGTGCTTGGAGACAGAGGCTGAGGAGGTGGATGTGTGCAGCCTCACCTGCTGGATCATCTTGGTGGGGTTGGGGTGGGGGAAGAGCCTAGATCCGGAAGATGCCTGGAAGGGGACCAGAGGTCTGACTTTTGTTTGATTTTCCTCAGGCTCCGGCCACCTGGACCGAAGCTATAGCTGTAGCTATAGCCACAGGAACGGCTGAGGACTATTTTGTCCTAAAGGTATGGAGCACAGAGACAAGGAAGGGAAGGGAAGCTGGGTCAAGGAGCCGGTGCCTCTAAGAAGCCTGATTTCCTTCCTTGATCCTTAGGTCCCACCTCGGAAGAGGGACTGGGGGCAAGCGTTATGTCCCTGAGCAGTGAGAATCCCTATGCTACCATCAGAGATCTGCCTGGCCTGCCTGGGGAACCTCGAGAAAGCAGCTATGTGGAAATGAAAGGCCCCCCATCAGCGTCTCCTCCCAGGCAGCCCCTTCATCTTCTGGACCGCCAGCAGCGGCAACAGCAGCCACAGAGAGACAGTGGCACCTATGAGCAGCCCAGCCTCTTGAGCCATAGTGAGCCCTCCCTGCCCCCAGCAGGGGCTACAGGGCACTGGAACATGGGAAGCAGGAAGGGAGAAGGGGAAGGGAGAGAAGAAGATAGTGGCACGATTCGGCAAGATTCAGCCTTTCGGTGGCTTGACCTCAAACCAGGCATGACACTCAGAGAGTTGCCCTGCTTCTTCGAGTCTGTTCCTCACCTGAAGGTTGAGTATTAGAGATGGTGCTTGTTTAGCACCAGAGAGGTAGAATTAGCATCTAGAAAAGTGAGACTGAGTTGTGGGACAGTGTCTTCATATCCTTTGAGGTGGACAGGGTAGGGAGAGCCAAGGAACGCCTCGAGGAGTTAACTCATCCTTTCCTCTCTTTCTTCAGATGAAGAGTCTGTGGGCTCCACGCCCCCTCTTCCTCCAGGCCTGCCTCCTGGCCACTATGACTCGCCCAAGAACAGCCACATCCCTGGACACTATGATTTGCCTCCGGTACGGCATCCGCCATCACCTCCACCTCGGCGCCAGGACCGCTGAAGTCAGCACTGCATGGGGCAGTGCCTGTATACCCTGCCAGGAGAGGGACTGGACCGGCAGACCACGAAAAAGCACATTTGATGAAGTGAGCAGAGAGACTAATGTCGGCCTTCAGCTTCCACCAAGGGAGACACAAGTTGACAAACCATCTAACTCCCTTTTCCCTTCCCACAGTTCCTTGAATCCCCAAGGCTCTGTGGACATCATTGGTGGGCTGAATGTTGTTGTATATCATCTGATTTCAGACTGATTTTAAAAATATGTGTTGGGTACCTTTTCTGTATATATACCAGGCGGGACTGTGTCTGCATCTGGTTGGCTTCAGACCGGTGCCAGGCACAGTTCTGCCTTCTGTGCTTCCCGGGTAGCCAGACTTCAATCTTAACTGGCTCCAACAGCAGACCCTCACTACCTGTTCACCCTTTACTTGGTAATCCTCCATGTTTTGCTCAGAGGATTGCGCCCTGCCTGTGGTGTTTATCTTCCTGGTACTTCTTGGGCTACACACAAACTTCCTGTGCCTCAATGGCCCTGCAGCCTACCTCTTTTTGTCTGCTTTCTCTCTTTTCTGGAGTAAAGGCTACCTGGTATCCTTCTTCCTCCCCCAGGGACAGGCACATCTGAGTTCAGCCTAGGTCCTGTGTTATCTGTCGACTCTTGTCTTTCACATATCCCACAGAGTGCCGGCCCCACTCCTCTTCTCTCTTCATAGCTACGGATGCTTCTTCATGCACCTGTAGAAGGCGAGAATGGTGCCAGGCAGGGTTTGGGCTTGTTTTGTTTTTGAAACATTGTCTCACTATGTAAGCCTGGCTGTCCTGGAACTCACTATGTAGATTAGGTTGGCCTTGAACTTAGAGGTCTTTCTGCCTGTGCCTCTTAAATGCTGTGTTTAAAGGTGTGTGTCACAGGTTACAGGAGGTGGGGGCGGGGCTCAGTCTGCACTCAGATGTGATGACCACATCACTAGATTAGCCTCTGCCTCCCCCTAGTGGCAGGAGTACTGTTTATGCTCACTGCTGTTTTTCCTTGGTGCATGTTAGTCAATAAATGTTCCTTTAAAAGCTTAGTGGCTGAATGACAGTACCAGTGATAGCTGTGGTAAATACTATACTTGTGTTCTCAGTGTCCCTCAGAACCTAGTTTGGAGATCTCTTCAGAAGTAACTTCCCTGCAGGGAGCCGCACCAATGCTTGAAATGCTGGGCTCCATGTCAGGCTAGAGGAAGCAAAACTTCAAAGAGGCCCAGGATAACAAAATGGCAAGGATGGGACCTCCTGGATCAAATCATTACCAGACTGAGCCTCCAGTCCTCCAGTAACCTGCATAGAGGAGAGCATTCAGTATCAGCCTGAGCAGCTAGCTTGGGCCCTTACCACTAGGGCCTCTCTCTAGAGAATGGACCTGAACCACCCTTCTGAGTGTTCTCCATGCTCAGTGTTGCCCCACTCCCCACATCTCCATGAGTAGTGACTGTTAGGCGCTCGCCCACTCAGGACACGCGGATCCTGTGCTGCCTGAGCCCAGCAGTACCAAACCACGCCCACTCGCTCCAGCCCAGGGCAATCAGGCGTCTGTCTGTCTGCCTGCCTTGAGCGAGCTAGCGAGCGGAGCGCAGTCTTTGCCCGTTGCTCTGGCCACAGCCCCACCCATCCAGACTCGTTGTCTTGGAGAGAGACTCGCGCAGATCCTGCAGTTGCTGGTCAACTGTGTCTGGTGAGTGGCGATTCTCAGGGCGAGGCCCACAGAGTCCTGTCTCATCTTGCCTCTCACTCAAGGACTCCAGAACCACCAGGATGTCAAATGAGCCGAGTGCTACGGGGACCTCACCTAGGACAGCACGTCCTGGTACCCAAAAGTCATCCGGTGCGGTAACCAAGAAGGGGGAGCGGGCTGCTAAGGAGAAGCCAGCAACTGCCCTGCCTCCAGTGGGTGAGGAGGAGCCAAAAAACCCCGGTATGCTGGCAGGGCTGAGGCTGGGTTGATCAGCCCAGAACTTTGCTTTATTATTGTTATTAAATTAAATCTGGTCTGGAACGTGCTATATAGACGAGGCTGGTCCAGAACTCAGAATTTTATCTCTGCTGAGACTAAAGGTGGTCTCCTCAGGAGTTGGCCTTAAAGAATACATATTTCGGCCGGGCGGTGGTGGCGCACGCCTTTAATCCCAGCACTCGGGAGGCAGAGGCAGGCGGATCGCTATGAGTTCGGACAGGCTCCAAAGCCACAGAGAAACCCTGTCTCGAAAAACCAAAAAAAAAAAAAAATACATATTTCCTGGGGATGCTGACATACCCCATTAGATGTGATAAGATATGCCAAAGAAGACTGGGGCGGGGTGGGAAGACCCCATGACGCTGTAGGAGGGGCTCTGAAGCAGAGCTATAGATACTCATTTAGCCAATGTGGCCATGGACACAGTTCTGCTTTGGCATATTTAAAGAAAAGTATTAAAGTTAGATGAACAGGACCATGGCTTTTCTTGTAGAAAGTGACAGAACCTAATTTTCACCAATTAAGTGCAAAGAGAAAATTGTCAGGTGTCTTAATACAAATTTGATGCTTTTGTTAGCAAAGAGGGTCAGGACCCTGCTATCCCTGAAATGGAGATAAAACAACCTGGGAAAAGATTCCAAGGGTCCACCCTTTGCCAGGTGCTATCTCCATGTCCATGCTAGTGGCCAGGACAGGCAGATTATGAACTGGAGAAAAAGCATCTCCCACAGAGAAGACAAGATAGCACTGAATTCCCTGGGCATAAATGGTGCACACTTGTAACCACAGCACTTGGAATGCTGAGGTAGCAGGCACTTGGGTTCCTGATAAAACTTGGGCTGTATACAAAGCAAGGGAGAGGAGAGGAGGGCAGTAGTAGGGTTAGCTGTGACAAGGAGCTTAGTCCAGGGACAGTGATAGCAAGGGGGTGTGGGTCAGGCTCCTGGGAGGTAGAAGTGAGGGGCCCAAAACAACCGAGTACTAGGTTCCTAGCCTGAGATGCTAGCTGGGTTGAGATGGGATTCATGGGAAGAAAACAGGAAGGAGGAGCATGCGAGGTGGACCTTCAAGAGTGAGGATCCACAGCGGTAATGAAGAGTGGCTATGGTGTTGGGATGTTCAACCCTGAGACTCCCCGAGACGGGTCAGAAGTTTGCCTGAAGAGGGACAAGGAAAGCCCAAGCAGCTTTGGCAGATGCAGGGGAGAACTCGAGTGACAAGCATACAGGGACCCTGGGCAAGGGCAATATGGAGGGCACAGAGGTTTACGGTTGCCTGGCAGGGGCAGACATGAGTCTCACATGAGGTGGAGATGCCTGATATGTGTGTAGATGTAGAGGAAACTCCATCTGATGGCCCATTTCTCAAACTCGGGAGTGGGCCATTTTAGCATTGGTGTGGGAGTGGAGGACGGATTAAGTTCCTTTGAAACACTACACATTGGGAACAAAACTGTGAGAGCCCGGGCGCCAGGTGCTTTCACGCTTCTCGGGTGATTCCTATGGATGGTAAAGTTTGAGGGACTCACTCTTGAGAGGTGAGTGATGCCAAGAAGGACGAGGGGCATATCTAATAGAAGAGAGGCAGCGTGAGCATGCACAGGGCTGTGCAGGGGCCACCCAACTCTCCCCGTAACTCGGTAAACTAGGCTAAGTTGCTGAGCATTTCCTATGATAGCTGGGCACGGGAGCAAAGCTCCCCTCACCTTTGCCTCAAAGAGCTTGGTGTGTCATGCAGGCTCTGGGTAAGCTGGGACACAGTCCTCTGCTGGTGGCCTGGTGCTGCTGTGGGTTGTTGGTTTGGAGGAGCCTGGGCTACCATGCAGAGAACTGAGAAGAGCAAGGGTCTCTTGGGGTTGCCAGACACCAAGTTTGCAGAGCCTCAAGATGGTAGGCGGTGGGCAAGACTGAAGGAATGAAACTTATCAAGACCATGAGGATTTTCAATACTTACAAACTCTGGGAGACTGACTAGCAATACTATATAAAAAAGTGTTAACAGGTCAGCAGCTCTGCTGGGCAGGCCTTGTCCCCCTCTGCGAGCTCTTGCTTTCCTCCAGTGTTTTCAGCATAGGTCTTAGCAAGGTAGCTTCCACCTTGGGGTCGCTGTGAGTGTGGAGGTTCCCACGCTGAATGCGGGGCTCACTCTGCTGCCACCCCGCAGAGGAATACCAGTGCTCCGGGATCCTGGAGACAGACTTCGCAGAGCTCTGCGCACGGTCAGGCTACACGGACTTTCCCAAAGTCGTCACCCGGCCACGGCCCCATCAGAACTTTGTCCCTTCTGCCTCCTTGTCAGAAAAACCCACCCAAGGTGAGCCATAGCCCACCCAGCTCACTCACTGGCGGGGCACGCTGCAGCTGCGGTGCCCTTATACTGCACCGTTTTCTAGACGACCAGCGGCTGTCGGCATCCTGTAGCCAGAACAGCCTGGAGAGCAAATACGTGTTCTTTCGGCCCACCATTCAGGTGGAGATGGAGCCGGAGGACAGCAAGGCAGTGAAAGAGATCTACATCCGAGGTGAGTGCCGCCCGCTGCCTCTGCCACTCCGGTCCAGCTCCTCCCCCCTCCACTGGCTCCGCCTCTGCCACGGCCCTCCAGCTCCACCCCCCACTCCTGGCTCACAACAGTTCAAGCCCCTCCCAGGCCTGAGATACCTTTGGCCTTTCTTCAGGTTGGAAAGTTGAGGATCGGATTCTGGGTATCCTCTCCAAATGTCTACCCTCCCTCAGCCAGCTGCAAGCCATCAAGTGAGTGGCGCTGTGGGAGGTCAGCCTCTGGCGGCTGGGATGGTGGAGTCCAGCTGTTTCTGTTTCCAACACCAGTTTGTGGAAGGTGGGGCTGACGGATAAGACCCTGACCACGTTCATCGCCCTTTTGCCTCTCTGTTCCTCCACACTCAGGTCAGTTGTGGTCAGGCCCCAGTGCCTAAGGGGCCTGCCTGGGGTGGGTGAGGGAAAGTGGATACCTACAGAGTCAGCAAGTCTGTTGGGTGGGGTTCCCACCTGAGACCACTATTTTAGTCTACATGGCATCCACAGAGCCCTTTGAGGTCCCATCCTCCCCATGAACCCCACCCTTCTTAGAGATCATCTCTATGACTCAGTACAGTGAGGGGAGGAGCCAGGAACAGATGCTGCTTTGCAAATATGGGGATGGGGATGTGGATGTGGAGGAGTGGCTCATGCAGTTCCTCATGAGCTGTGTGCTAAGTTAGCCTTCTAGGAATCACAGGGTGGATGGGTAGAAGGCAGAGCCAGGTTTAAGATAGCCTACAATTAGTTTGTTGCTTAGCTGTCTGCCCCTTTCCAGGTTCCTACAAGACCCTAGACTTAACATCCTCGCTTCACAAATACCCCTCGGTGCTATCCATGTGGGCTTTCATCCTGCGAATCAGATGTGCTGAGAGCAGGGCCCTCATGATCATACTTCCAGAATTTTAGCCTGGGGAATATTTTAGTCATTGGGGGATATCCTTAGACTGTTTTCTAGATGCTCTCAAAGAACCATACTTGCACTGTTCCCCTCCCCCTTGCATGGCCTCCCTGGTGATTCCTCAGATCCCTCTCACTCTCAGGAAGGTATCTCTGGAAGGGAACCCACTGCCGGAGCAGTCCTATTACAAGCTCATGGGACTGGACAGCACGTGAGACTCATTGACTTCACTTTCCTTTCTTGGCCTATCCCCCATTTGAAGTTGTCTTCAGTCCTCACCTTTCCGTCTCCAGGCACCTTTAATTCCTGATTCCTGCCCCTCCACCTATAGATCAGACAGAACCAAGCCCCAGGAACGCTGGTTCTCCCTGTCCCTGTCCCAGGAACACTGGTTCTCTCTCTCCCTGTCCCAGGATCGCTCACTTGTCTCTGAGGAACAACAACATCGATGACCATGGGGCGCAGCTCCTAGGCCAGGCACTGTCCACACTGCACAACAGCAACAGGACCCTTGTTTCACTGAACCTGGGATTCAACCACATTGGAGACGAGGGTGCAGGCTACATTGCGGATGTGTGTGTGTGCTGTTGGGCAAGATGGACTGGGGACGCTGACTTGCCCTTGGCTTACAGGACTCTGTTCTCCAGGGCCTGAGGCTGAATCGCTCTCTCCTCTGGTTGTCCCTGGCACACAATCGTATTCAAGACAAGGGAGCACTGAAGCTGGCCGAGGTGGGTTTTTGCATGCTGGGCAGGGCAGGGGGCGGGGAATCTGATGCAGGTGTCTGATGCAGGGAGCTGGACTTGCCTCAGGTCCTGCGCCCCTTTGAGCTGACCCACAGGGAGGTGGTGGAGAGGAGGCGCCTGCTGCTGGAGAAAGGATCGCAGGAGCGGTCACGATCGGTGAGGAGCCACCTGGTCCTAGGAAGGCCGCTTTTCTTCCCGCTGCCCATGACTCAAATTCCCTCCAGCCTCTTGCCTTTCCGGATTCTGGAGACCCAGTCTCTGTCAAACCCAACTTGGTGCTGTAACTACACTGCCACTCTGGCCATTAGAGTGTAGTTAAGAGAAAAGATACCATCAGATCACTTGGGCTTGAAATCCTCTCCACATTATCACTGCTTAACCTCCAAGTCTCACTTGCCTCAACTAAGCAGGTAACTTACTTTCTTCACAGAGTTGAAATGATTAAATGAGTTACTGTAAAGCATTTGAAATACTGCCTAGAACTTAGCTCAACAAAAGCTGCTGGCTGGGCACAATGCAAACCTTGTCAGTTAGGAGGCAGATGAAAGATGAGTTCAAGGACAGCCAGAGCCACAGAGGGAGACCCTGACTTTAGCCAAGATCTAGAGGTACTGTACTGTATGTAAAGTTCTTGCCTGCCACACACAGGTGCTCGGTTTGATCCCTACCACTGCAACAAACCATTCTCCTCATCATCAATAAAACAATTCAAAGTGCGCTATTTCCCCTCCTGTGATGGAAACCTGAGCCTCCAGCCTATGCTCACCGTTCTGGCTCCTTGCCAACAGCAACTCTGTCCCAGACCAATGGCCAGGCAGGGAGGTGGGGAAGGAAAAGAACTTATTTATTTCCTCTGTACCCTCCCAATTTTGAGTGCAGCCTTCCTCCTCCCGACATGGGGACTCCAAAACAGAGCGTGAGAAGTCTCAGATGATGGGGATCTGCAGTGTTGCTTTGGCGGACAAGCCAGAAAAGATGCAGACAGTGAAAACACCTAAGGGCCTGGGCAAGAAAAAGGAGAAGTCAGGGGTAGGTGTGCTGGGTGAAAGGGAACCTTGGGCCTTGAATAGGCAGGGGAGGATCTTCTATGGTGTATAGGGCAGGCAAGTCTCTGAGGCTCAACCTTCCTACTTTCTCCCTCTGGGAGGCAGGGCATCCATTGTGTTTTCTTAAATCCTTCACAGGAAGTTGTAAAGAAGGAGGAGAAGTCGGGCTCCGGGCAGTCACCCACACAAGGAACCCCTAAGAAAGAAGATGCCACGAAGGCAGGCAAGGGGAGTAAGTGTGAGCACATTTCTCTGGGGATCTTCCCACAGGGAAGAGCCTTAGAGAGCATGCAGGAGCTGGCTTTGGCATGGCTATGTCTGCCAGGAGCAGTTCTGTCATGTCTCTCCTTGGGCCTTATTTATTCCTCACCTTGCAATGAAGAGTGACTCCACTTGGCCTCGACACTGTGACCTATGGCTGTCCAGCTAGAGGGGAGCTCACTGCAGATGTTCCCATGTTCCCCTCACCCAAGTCTCAGAGTTTGAGGACTCCGCCTTACCAAGACCCTTTCTCGGGGGAGTTTGGGTGGTGTCAGGGGGGTCTGCTCTGTGCATTCTGGCTCCTCTTCTGGTCCCAGAGGTCACCATCCCCGAGCAGAAGATCAACAAGGGAAAAGGGCCCAAGACGGGGAGCAAAGAGAAGCGCAGCATCCTCCTGGAGTCCGAGGTTGGTGCCGTCCGCGGTCTTCACTGCTTTGGCAGTGGTGTCTGTAAGCTCTCTCCAGCCCACATGGAATCCTATCTGACCTGCACTTTCTGTGGAGATGACACAACCCCCATTTCCCTTCCCCTGCGGCAGACAGGCTCCTTACCTCCTCGTCTAGGAGGATCCCCAGTTTGGATCTGCTGTACATCTGAAGCTCATCACCTGCCCCCCAACACTGCACAGGAACAAAGGGTGCTTTTGCCCCACAGGTGCTAAGACACTTTGTCAGCACACTGCCCCATGCAGGATCAATCATCCTTAGGAAGCCTTCTTTGGGCCATCTACTTCCTGGCTCCCAGTTCCTCCACGTCCTCCATCTTGTCCTCTCCATTCTCTCTCCATGAGGAGACTCCACAACCCTGTCACATACTCCTGGAAGGGAAAGCCTTCTGGCATCCAAGACAACTTCTGGCAGAGGATGGCTTTCTATTTCCCACAAGACAGTCTTTGCCTTGGGCAAACTGCCCCTTCTCATCAGGACCATCAGCTTCCCAAATGCTCTTTAATGGAAGGGTTACAAATGCTTATTAAAACCTCAGTCCCTCGTGAACCCGGGGCTCCAGGGCCTTTGCTTGGGGAGCCCCCCTCTTCCTTTGAATGTCTGTACACATTCAAATTTCACTCCCAGGTTGCCTCTTCTAAGGTCTCTGCTCTTAAGGGCCCAGCCACGCTACATTCCTATTTAATCCTCTGGTTCCCACACCAAGGAATTTTTTTGAGGGTATGGGCTTATTTATCTTTGTTTCTCCAGCACCTAGGATACAGCCTGAATTATAACCAGCACTCAAAACCTGTATGTTGAATGAATGAATGAATGGCCTGTTGACCAGCTCCCCTCTCCTCTGCTGCAATTAGTATTCTGCTTTAGCAGCTGGTTGTTGAAGCTACAGAGATGGTCAACCCTCTCCTGGAGCCTGTGGAGCACCGAGATGGGAAAGTTTTCATGCCTGGGAACAAGGTCCTTTTGCACCTCAACCTCCTCCGTATGTTTGCAAGCCTTACCTATCCTTACCGCGGGACTACCCAGGCTCCATTTTGCTAAGGGGTGCCACCAAAGCTCCTTGGGGTGTATTTGAGCTGGAGTTGAGAGGAAGTGCTAGGTCAGGGAGGGCTTGAGTAAGATAGCTAGGTGGGGAGGAGGAATCACAGAGGAAAGGGGAAGTGGGGGGAAGGTGTGAAGTAGAAAGAATTGGGGTAGAGGGCTAGTCCTGCCTAGTGAACTTGGGGATGGGGAGTCAGGCTGCCAGGTGTGATACCAGGTACCACTGTCTGTTTCTCCTCTCAGGAAACCGAATTACAGAAGTGGGGTTGGAAGGTTTCCTTACTGCCGTGCAATACCAGGTTCAGGTCTCCAAGCCCAAGAGTTCATCCAAGGGTCCCTTGGGGCTGCTGTGGCTATCCCTGGCGGTGAGTTCCTGGCCCATTTACAGAAGGTTTCATTGTCCTGATTCTTTGTTTCAATGCAGCAACCTTTGTTTTCTGTTGTCATCAATGGCATGACTGCCCTACCCTGCTCACCTGTCCTAACACTGTAAAGGGCATTGTTTTCTCCTGAAGACAAATCTTCATTCTTGCTAATGTTCCTTTTTTTTTTTTTCTTTCAGAAAAACTGCTTTGACCCACAGTGTCCAACATACACCATGATTCAGGAACTGATGCTGCCAAGGGACCCTGTGAAGGCCAAGGTCAGGGAGGAGGAGGCCACAGCTACCTAGGCTTCCCATGGGAGACACCTTGGACCGGTATCAGCCTATTGCTGTGCTATTCTTTGAAAATCACTTCAGAACTGTTGGGAACATTTGGGCTCCTGAGTCTGTTCATATTGCCTGGTTAGACATGGCAGAGTGGTGGCCTGAATCACACGGTATCTGTTGGGGGGGATGAACTGAGCTCCTGGCTCCACCTCCAGAGTGCCCCAGCAGCATCCCCCAGCCCCTCTCTGCCAGCATGCACACAGCTGATGATGGAACTAGGACCCATCCCCCAGCATCCTTGCTGCTTATCTCCAACCCATGTGTTTGCCTGGCTCGTGAGACAAATGCACTCTGGAGAGGGTACTGTAGCCATATTTGCATAGCAAAGGCCAAACATTAGACATGGCAGGTGAGCAACCTGAAATCATGGACATCCAGAGCTGGGACTGCCAGGCTGCCTCTAAATTCTGGAGAGCCCATGCTAACCTACAGGGAATCTCCAACCTCTTTCATCTCTTGGCCCTCTGCACTGGCTGAGTGGCTCCCGGGACATCTCTCTCCATTGCTCTGAGTCCCAGACTGATCATCCATGGTGGCTTCTCCAGTTACATCTGCCAGGTCCCCTGTCTTCAGCCCTACTTGATCAACAGCTATGGCTGTTGTATGGGATGTATGGGAAGGAGAGGGATGAGGGCAGTGAGGACTGTCCTCTTCACGCTGTGCAGCTGAGGGCAGGTTACGAGATCCCGTTCCTTTGGGTGAAGTAACCACAAGGTTACTGGTCTACCTCTTTTGAGAAGACACACCCCCGAAACTTTGGGAGAGGTGACAAGACCTGGTGTGGGATGGTGTGGCGGGGCTCTTCTGGCTCCCTCTACCCATTCATGACCAGTCACAACCAACATGCCCTGTATCAGTCTAAGAATCATACAGCCACAATGGAAGAATATTTAACTTTTCTTTAAAAAAACTTAACCATGAAAGGAAGAAAATAAGAGTATACATTATTTTAACAGCAAAACAGTCATTTCCATATCTATATTTTATATATTATATATATTTATATATATGTATATATACACCTAGCACAGTGTGTATGTTCATCAGTGGGGAGTGGAGTGAGGGCACGACAATGAGCCAATGTTGCTGTGGCCCCAGGGGAAGGGTCCTGAATTAACTCGGACTCTGCTTTCTTAGGGTCTGTTTTGAGCTCCTTAACGTACCTGTTGTATTTGTTTCTATGGGGCAAATAGGGACGGGGTGAGCATGAGTGAGGCAAGATGCTCCCTACGGGCTCGTCTCCTGACAAACAGCCTGGAGTCCAGGAGACCAGGGAGACCTCCCTGGCTGTGGAACACAGGCAATCACCGCCCTGAGCTGGGCTGCTGACTGGCTCTCATCTTACTGGTCTCTGACGGGTTGAGCATGCCAGGGACAGAAAAAAGGCTAAGTTATTTACAATGCAAAAAATGCACATACAATAGACATATTTATAGGACACTAAAGGGACAGAAGAGAGCCAGGCACCCAGCTGTCTCGGGCCTAGGAAGAAGGGGAGGAAAAAAGTGCATTTACACATAAGCCTTCTCCTTTGACTTGTACACCCTAAGGTACCCTGAGGGTACTGTGCACCCAGGACACCCCACATATGCTATGTAGCTATGTGGGGCAGACCACTGCAGGAGGCCTACTGCTGTGATCAGCATGCTCAGGAGATGAAAGCCATGGAGATTTGGCCAATAGGAAGAGAAATTGAAACTGGACTCTGTCCAATGTGAACAGATCAATCAACATGCAGGTCTCTCCTTGGGCCTCTGGCATCTGTCAAGTGGAGGCTTGGGTCTCCTAGTGTTGTGCTCTGGCTCAGGCCAGACTCTGGTAGAATGGAGAAGCTGAGGCTCTGGTTGTCTGAATGGCTATGGTCCTGGTGATGCAGCTGTGTCTGTGGCACTGTCTTCCAGGGGGGTGTCGGAGCCTGTGGGAGGAGGGTGAGGGTTGAGAAGCTGGCTAGGTTTGCAATTTTCTGTTTCAAGTCCCAGGCTTAACTCTTCAGCACCAGCTGTTGGTGACAAAGCTTTCTTCTCCAAAAACTCTCCTTTATTTTTATTAAAATAATTTTGCTGGTGCGTATGGAGTGTGTGTGGAATCAGCTTTGCAGGAGTCAGTTCTCCTTCCACTGTGTGAGTCTTGGGGATTGAACTCAGATGGTCAAGTTTGGTACAAATGCCTTTAAACACTGAGCCATCTTGTCAGTCCAACCCTTGTTTCTTGTGGGACTTCAGCAGGTCTATGAGTACCTCACTTCTGTCTGGCCTCCAAAACCAAGACAGGTAAGTGTTTTAACTTTGAGTCAAGCCATGGCAGTGGCCTTCCCTCGAAATCCAGGTTTGAGCCACTAAGAACCTGCAGCAGAGGTAAAATCTGGCCCTCCTGGTACATGACCTCCTCAACATAAAAAGAGGGTTCTGGGGGCTGGAGACGTGACTCTGCAGCTAAGAACACTTGCTCTTAGAATGGAAGAACTCTTCCAGAGGAAGTTCTTCCAGAGGACTCAGGTTCAATTCCCATCACCTATATATGGCAGCTCATAACCATCTGTAACTCTAATTTCACAGTATAAAAGTTGCCTATGGCCTCCTCAGGCATTGCATGTATGTGGTATACAGATTTACATGCAGACAAAGCATCTATACACACAAAGGATTTTAAAAAGAGGGCTCTGTACTTCTGGAGGCATCACAATTCCTGACTTCAAACTCTACTACAGAGCTACAGTAACTGAAAACAGCCTGGTATTGGCATAAGAACAGACAGAAGTGGTGGCGCACGCCTTTAATCCCAGCACTTGGGAGGCAGAGGCAGGCGGATCTCTGTGAGTTCGAGGCCAGCCTGGTCTGCAAGAGCTAGTTCCAGGTCAGGCTTCAAAGATACAGAGAAACCCTGTCTCAAAT